CCCCCCCCCTCGTTTCCCCAATTCATCGAACACTATGCACTAAGTGTTAGAAATAGCTCCTACTATCGTCTTGTCTTGGTTCGATCTCGTTGACCCTTGTCTTGTTTTGTTGCCCCAAAGTGCTTCTCCCATGCGACATGACAATCTTCAGCCACTAACTTCACACGCACACACACACAAACAAAAGGTGATGAATGAATCATTACTGTTTTCCTTTTCCACGTTTCCAAACTCGTTTGTTTTCTGTTAAATCAAATCGATATATAATATATACACTTTCCTCTCGTGTATAATGAATAGGGAATAGGGTCATTACGTAATTTGTCAATAAATCCACAGTTTCGTAGGCTTTCTTTTGACGATTTCTGATCATTGATCTATGCTTATATCTTGAATCTTGGACCAACCGATTGCATGCAGATCCATATATATATACACACACACACGGATACGAAGCATACTATAGAGTATGTTTGGCAATTGGGGTAGTTGTATTCAGAACAAAACAAGCCTCAATAGATATGTCTTTTCTTTTTTACATCTTTGCCAAATACCATTACACGCAATTATTCCAACACACAAAAGACAAAAGTAAGAGATTTTACAACGATTCAATAGCAAGAACATCACAAAAAAACACAACACGTAAAAATGGGATGGATCAAACTCGGAGAAGCTTAGATCGAGCTACATTAATTGATTAACTAATTAAACATTATCTTTCTCTCTCTCTCACGGTTTTATTACCTTCTTTCTCTCGGTTTAGTTCGACGATGGGTTCAAAGGACTCTTCCCATAAGTCGCTGTCTTCGGACTGTTTTGCCCTTTTCCGGGAACTCTGGGACTCATCTCTCCCCTCAGCTCAGACACTCGCGGGCTAAACGCTTGAGATAGCCTCGGATTTACCGGCGTCGAAGTCGAGCTCGTGATCTTAGGACTACACGTGTGCCTGAATTCTCCTCGGCTTCGTGTAATAACCTCGTCTAGAATCTCTGCATCGCCTGGATATGTGGCAGTGGATCTGATTTCGCCTTCCTGTGAATGTGTTAAGAACCGAGTTAGAATCTGAGAAAGGGAAGAAAAGGGTTTCGAGAACGTTTTAAAGAAGTGGATTGCATTGTACGGAACAGTACCGGTGTGAGATTGAAAGGCATGGCGGGTGACTCCTCGTACTCTGCTGCGTCCAGGTCCTGAAGATGTGCGCCCTTGAAGAATTTGGGAAGGACGTACTGCCTTACAGGTACTAGAAGCATGATCATCAGAGGAAACATGACGCCAGCGATGGGAACCCATGTCAGACCAAAGCAGATTAGAAGATACACTGTCTGGAAAATGGTGAATACTGCAATTGCCTTGAATGGAACAGTTTCCACAAACGTTGCGTGGTAATCTTCAAGGACCCTGTAAAAGAATCCGGAAAACAGAGTGTTACCCGGAAATCCGGAAGAGCATCGAATGCGTTTTCTCGAGAAAAAGATTTGAAATTTACTTGTAGCGTCTGCTCGGGGCGGTGAATAGCAGCAAGATCCTCTCCCAGAACTGGTTTCCAGGCAAGCTTTCAATAGCCATGAACGCAAAGTATCCCCAGAGAACTGATGTAGGGATCATCTTGAGGAAAGGCATTGCTGCAACACATCCTCCGACCATCATGGCCTGAAGAAAATTGCTTAGCCGTTGTTCTTTAACTTCAACTGGTAGCAAATCATCGATCTCTTTCTCGATGTCAAACAGAGTCTCATCAACTGGGGCGTTGAGGTTGCCAGTGCAAGTAGTCGCTTGGATTGTCGATTCCTTCAGCTCTTTTAAACCCTGCAGAAGATAATTTTCACACTCATTTCATCATCAAATCGAATTTCCATTGACAAAAACAAGATTTCTAGAGAATGAATATTCACTTGTGGCTGCTGGTAGACCAGAGGGGTCTGCATTTGGTTGTAAGCCTCTTGCATATTTCCATACAACTGTCCCAAGCTTGCGTTCTTATTGATGCTTTGTCTCGCTGTTCTGACTAGTCTGTTACGAAGCAGCTGCAGAAAGAACAATATTCATGCTTGAGAATTCATCACGGCCTCGGAAGAAAAAACCCGAAAAACAGAATCTCTGTCTGTGAAAATACCTGATTCTTGAGAGTCGCTAGACTCTTGGTGTGCATGGGAGACTGAGGGATGACTCCATTGGATGGAGGGATTCCAATGAGACCGCACATTAAAGTCTGCAGTAGTTTGTTTAATTACAACCAAATAAAACATTCAGTTCAAAGCACTTGTAACATAAAAGATCTTAAGTTCAGTTAGTAAAATCAGGAGATCTGCAGATTCGCACCAGAAATCCGAGAAGAAGTAAATCGTAGTGGTAAGAAGATGGTTTTCTCAAGTTGAACTCCTTCTGCTGCGCGAGCTGTGATGCTACACTATGGTCAAAGTAGTAAAGCACTGCAATCATCGTTGCTGGAATGAACGCTCCAATAATGTAAACAATGGGAACATCAAGCATATCCTGAAATTTCGAGTAAATGGGCATTAGTCCAATGTATAGACTTCTTTATACTAGAGAGAGATTAGAGCAAAGGAGAAACCTTGATGACGGTCCAATTCTCATAAGCACCAGGGGACCAAGGATTTGGGCTGAAAAGTCGCCGAGGAATTCCTTTTGGGACGTCTCCTGCTGGAATGTAGGAGACACCAGTCCACACAAGCACCATGAGTGGAACACCATAGTCTGCTACTAAGCTTCTAAGCCAGCCTGTGCATGAAAATCAAATAAGAAAATGGAAAAAAAAAAGCAACGGGAGACCAAAAGTTTCTTTGGGATCAAGAAAGATTCCGACTTGTGCAAGAAAAATGGCCGAGATCTCCCACTTGTAAGCAATGAATGCATAATTAATGATCCAGATCCCAAAACAAGGAGATTCCAGATCAGTAAGACAGAAACATTTAGCTAACTTATTCATACCAGTTCCATATCGCCAGGATCTGGCTTTTCTGCTCCTAAGTGCAGTTAGAAGAAGACCAAAGGAGAGAACCAGAGCGAACATCCCATTCGCAAACCTCCATGGAGTCGTGAACTCTAGCAGTTTCGGGTTTTCCCGGCCAGGGACACGAAACTCATCCACCAGTCCCTGAATGATCTTGAGTGTTAGAGAGCCGAAATCCAAGAATTCCGGATTCAAGATAGAATTTTGAGTACATGTGCTTACTTTGATGGCTTGTTGCATGAAGAGCATAGCAATAAGCATTCCAAACAATTCTCCGGCTACTCGGGTGAACCTGTTGATGATGGAACATGCCCCCAGTATCGCCAGCACGAACAGCAGAAAAGCTGTCCAAACACAAACCCTGCAGAGATCAAGAATCATACTATGTATTATTACCTGATCACATAAATCCACAAAGAAAACTGATGATATAGCAAGAAACTCACCATCCGGACCAGGCCAGGAACAGGTTGCGACCCAACTCGGGTCTCTCCTTGGCAAAGTTAAACATGAATGTATACATAATTACAGTTGGCTCTGCAACTCCGAGTATCAGCAAGGGTTGACCTCCGATTATGGAGTGTATGATACCGCAAACGGCTGTAGAAACCAAGGTCTGAACAGCAGTAAGAACTCCATCTGCAGATTTCGGAATTCAATTCACTATGTCAGTCAAAACTGTAATCTTTAACAGCCAACGAGATGGGGAGAATATAAAAGTCGATAACTTTCGAAAAGTTCAAAACTTTTCAGGGCAGAAGATTCGATACCGGTGTTTCGCTCCAGCTGTTCGCCGAATGAAATGACAGGAATCGCAGACGCGAAAAATATGTATGTGGTGGGAGCCAGAATCCTACAAATGAATAAATTATAAGTGAATATTCATAAAAGTGAAAGAACACATAGGGTGTATTATATACTCGTCAAGATCAGTGAGTACCTAATTCCAGCTTTGAAGCCGCCGGTCCAGTCTTGCTTGTAGCACATCAACCTTCCTTTCAGATCATTCTTGATCCCTTCGAACGGCACGAAAGTCTCTTCCATGGCTTCTCTCTCTCTCTGTGTGTTTCTGTGTGGCAAATCGCCAAACACTTGGGAGGTCTTCTGTGTTCTGAAGATCCAAGACGGTAGAAGATGATCTCAAACCCCGATCGAGCGGGAACAACGGCTGAACTATTTAGCACAAGACAAACCCATGTCGCAGAACATGTTCAGTTCAAGTTTAACGACCGACAGAAGAGGAAAATGCAGGAAGACCCAGATGGGAAAAACCGGACAAGAGGCTCGAAAATAGATCGAATCTCACTGAAACAGATGGAGAACGATTCATGGAACCATTACATGGAAGTAGCAGAGATTGAGAAAAAGGGTTTTGTTTGGAAGACAAGAAAGAGGCAAATGGTGCTATTACATCAAGAGAGAATCGCAATGTACGTCTGGATTCTAGGAAAGAGCAGCTGAAGGATCGTGATATATATAAGCAGCTGAAGCATACAAAGCCGAAAAGGAAACACACAGAAAAAATATTTTTTTTAAAAAAAGAAAAGAAAAGGAATTTCTACAACATAAGAGAAGGAAAGAGACCAGACAGAGAGTGTTCGAGATGCAATGAAAATGGAGAAGCGCGTGAATGTTTTTCAATTGAGAGATCAGAGAGAGAGAAAAAAAAAAACAATCTTTTGCAATTGCATCATCATTGATGCTACCCACCTCATGTTTGACTTTAAAAAAAAAAAATTTAAAAGTCTCCTCCTTTGTTCATCACATTATCACATGATTCAATTTAGAATAAGTTACAAATCGTATACGTATACCCGCCCTAATTTTTGTACACAATTTTACAAAAATTGCTGATGCAAATCGAAATTTTGTTCTCTCTCTCTCTCGACCAAGTTCTTTAATCTTTCTTCATTGCATTAAATATCTAAAATTCGATAAATCTATGTAAGAACTAAGTACAACGCGAAGGTTACATTTCATATTATATTTGGTCAAATATGGTACGGCCTGTCCAAGCACATGATACGATTACTCTCGCTGTAAAATGATTTTCCAGTGCGTGACATTAGAGTACGAGAGAAACCCGGCAATATTTTTGGGAAACCGTGATATATATGTATGTATTTAGGGGGGATGACGTGCTCGCTTGGCGTAATTTGTTGGGCCGTCTCCATCTTTACCTTGGATTAAAATGTTTTATAATTAATATTTCGGGAATAAATTGGGAAAATTTTGAAGACAAAATATTACTAGAGAGTAAATGACATGTAAACTCATGAAACCATCTTCTAAGTTCTGTCCTTTGGCTACCCTTAATGTTAGTCAGTTCACGAATCTCGTATTTAACATCATTTATGGATATCAAACCATGTGTGAGTATGTGTATATTACGCACAGTGTAGCCTGACATTAAAAGATACAAAGTCCGTACGATGTTGTGAATTCGGGCGCATTGTTTATGGAAATGAGGTCACCTGTAATATAATTGAAGTTGTGTAGATAATATTATATAATAAAATGTGACGTGTAATGCTAACAAGTAACCAGAGCACACAAGCATCTAAGAGCTAAGATGCAAATTTGACCTAACTATTCAATCCAGTTGGTTAACTCAACTTTTTCGCTTAATTTAATATGAAGATTAGACACTTCGATCCAATGTTCAACTGCAGATTCTTTCAACTCATATACACATGTATATGTATATATTCTTCTTCATTTGTGTATGTGTATGTAATGATAATGTATCTGCATACATGCATACGTAGAGAGAGAGAGAGAGAGAGAGAGAGAGAGAGAGTTTATGGGCCATGTGCGGTCGACAACTCATTTCTTAGCCCTCGACGTAATCCAACGTCAATGCACAGCGGTATTTTCCGAAATATAATTTTATAATTCAAGCGACTTTGATTTTAATTTATGTTATAATCACTTGTGACCAAAAATTGTTATCTTGCACAACACATAGAAGCGAAGCAAGGCTCCTTTTTTTTTTCTCTCTCAAGCGTTTTATATATTCTACGTACCATATGAGATTAGAAGAAATCGTAAACTTATAATACCGACACAGATTAAAATTTGATTTTATAACAAAGAATTGAAAAGATCTAACGTGAGAAACCAACTGAATAGATGTTGATAATGACGGTGATTATAAACTCAAGATATTTCTCTATTGAATTATTGAATACAAGTAGGCGACATGACGGGACATTATACACATACACACATCTATATAGTACAATATATTTATATATGTAGACTTAATTTAAGTTATCATGTAACCGATAAATCAAAAAGTCGTCTGCCCACCAGATTGCTGTGACATTGAAAGCTTACGCCACTCCGAAGGCTTTTTTATCCTCCAAAGCATATACTCCGAATCGGGACGTACGACGGATCCTTTCTTGCACTCCCAAATAACCCTCGTCGGTCCAATTTATTTCTCCGCGCGGTTAATGAGAATATAAAAATCATATTATAAAATTTGGAGTTTGCATCATTTTGGTTGATGAATTGTTCTGCAAAGTCAAATTGCGGGTTCAAATCCAAAGCTGTGGAGGAGTATTCAGCCAAACTTCTCTGATTTTTTTAAAAATGTAGTTGGGTCATATTTACGGTAAATTTTCGAATTATAAAAAAAATTTATAGGTCAGCGATAATCTTAGACCGGTCTAGTTGATTTTTTTTTTGGAATAATCGAGTATCATGAGCTAAGATCCAGACTAATTTCGAGATCGAAACATTTTTTTTTCCAAACTTGAGGTTCGAATTCGGGATAAGACAGATGTTTTGCACCCGTTTCACCGGTTAGACTATACAAATTTGGGTTTGAGCGGTTAATTTTGACCGTCCACAAGTGAAGGTAGAGCACCATTCATCGTACTTCGCATTAATCCTCACACAGAGCATCTATTCGTATTCCACATCCGTCTCCAAGTTGTGGAGTCAGTTTCCATTTGAGCTGACTTTGCGATATAATGCATGATCAATATATAACGAGGAGATTATTGATATATGCTTTTTGTTTTTTGTTTTTCGTTGAACAATCCAAGATGAATCATGTCTCAAATTATCATGTTTGATCTTGATATTATTTAGCACCTTGGTTACATCACTATTCGTCGTATTCAGTTTGGATTTTCTTAATAGTATTAGATTTTTTAAAAAAAAACTACATTATTTATTCTAAACTCTTTCTATTATCATTAATAATAATAATAATTACCTTACATGATTTTTTTTTTTAAAAAAGTTAGAGGATCGACAGAAAAAATGTTATATGCGGGGGATCCAAGTGAGAGGAGAAATAGATTTATAGTAAAATATAAATCAACTAGTTCATTAATACACTATTTCTTTAATGATTAATATATATATATATATATATATATATATTGAGAAAAAAAAAGATGTTAGATGACCTTTATGTGGAGCCTTTTTGGTGCCGAGACGAATTAAATAATCAGAGATGGAGGGTATTATTGTAATTATGCCCTGTAAATGACAGGATGTACTAAACTTTCAATTCAATTACTGAAAATCAAGGGCAGGAAAGAAAAAGCTTATCGATCAATTAAACAATCACATATTTCGAAGAAAAAAAAATATTTTTCTTGAAATAAAGAGATTCATATAATTGAGGTATTAAAGAGGAAGAAGGCGGACTAAATTTGATTTATGAAAAAGTTATTCTCTTTATAAGATGGGATCAAAGCTTTGAAAAAGCATAGACATTAGAAAAAGCGACATATATAATATGAAATGAATCCTCGTTTGTCATATATATATATATGTAATGGTTCATGTTTTTAGGGTTTTATTTCAACTATCCTTTTTATATGGAATATTGTAAGTACGATAGCATTAATGCCAATTTGGATCCTTCCATATTCCCTAAACCTAGCCGGAGTTCGTACCCATGCAACCTACCAACTTTGATCCTTTTTATTAAAAATAAAAATAAAAATAATATCAGTGAGAATTATGAGTGTGAGAATTTGGTGGCCGAGATTCTCTCTTTTTCTCTAACGGAGCACACATATTCTTGTTTATTCAGCACTACTTATAAAAGGGACTTTTGATCGAAATTAATTATAAACACCCCTCTCATTTTTCCTCCGGTAGAATATTGTTTAATATATATATATATATATATATATTATGTGAAGAGTAATTGGACTAGAGCATCAAAAAGTTTTTTTTTTGACAAATTTTTTTTTTATAATGTTTATCTATTGTTATTTTGTTATTTAGGGGATACCTCAAACAATATAAATCAAAACCATGATATGAAATTTAGTAATTAACTTAGTCTGAAACTTGATATTTGGATGAAGGTGATGGTTTCTATTTTATTAGTCTATCTAGGAAGCACTTGAAGTGATTATAAAAATAAAAAAAAATTAAGACAGTAATTAAATGCTTTTTTGAAATCAAAAGTATTAACCTAAAACAAAATTAAATGAATGTTATTTAGGCCTGGTAAATAAACATAAATATGATATATGAAGAACGAGGACTTTGGTGGCAACCTGATTCATGTTTCGATTTCTAGATGGAAAGCATTCGGAACGCTCAAACACATCGTCTCTCTAATTTATAATTCACCATTCAATTTGGTAGCAAAAGCATTATGCAATTTGTATTATTCGCACTTTTGTCTTAACAAAAACTGTATGCATACCCTCTATATATATATACATATACACGAATCTTTTTTTTTTTCCTTTTAATTTCTTTTTAAATTTCAGGAACAAGTGGGCAAGATGCTATGCTTTTCACTATCCATCATACGAGGTTCTTTCGTGTTTAAACATCAAATAAAATTAAGCTAATTATGCACCCACTGACCTCCACGTCCGTATTAAAAATTGTGAGAGGAAAAAAATACCAAGTGTGTGTGTATGTGTATATATATATATATCCATGGAAAATTAAAATTTTATAACTTCAACTTGGTTAGAGAGATAAACTTATAACCAGTTCAAAACTGTGAGGCTAGCAGGGTACTTAATTTAGGTTATCAAATATGGTTTTTTGTAGTATTAATTTAATTACTACATACATATATATATATGTGTGTGTGTGTGCTACTTAAGACATAAAATTCCAAATAAATATTAATCACGAGAAAGACTTTCAACCATATATAACTATTAACTATGCTGTATAAATTTTGTCCTTTGTTTTCTCCCTGTTCACAAGTCAAAATGAGAAAAAACAACAAACATTATCCTCTCTCTGTTTTATTTTTTTTACTATTTTTGTCCAATTATGTATACATATATATACTATAGCTATACATCTGTGAATATGAATATATAGCGTATTTGATGTGCAATTGCAATAATAATAATAATAATAATAATAATAATAATAATAATAGGGGGAGAGCAAAAGACAAAATCCAACTGTCCAAAAAGACGAAAAAGCATTGGGACATCAAAGGTCCAGAATTCTAAATAAACCCAAAAGTGAAGTGGTAGGCCCATTCCAAACATCATTTCTCTATTTGCCTTTACACCCTTCCCCTCCAAACCTCCTCCACCGTTCATTTCCATTTTCCTCTTAAACCCCTTATTTTTTAATTTCTTTACAATATCACCCCATATTTTAATAAAACGAGAATTCGTTCCTTTTGTTCTCGTAAAAAAAAAAAAACAAAGACCTTTTATAATTTTAATTACTGGAAAAATTAGGAGCCGTGGGAATGCTCTCGCGTAATCATTAGTATAAATAGTTAGCCCCACTCTTTATTTAGCCCACAAGACCAAATAATGCAATATCATTAAATTATATAAATATTTCACAAAATATTTCTTTGACTAATTAAGACCAAGAATTTCAATCACGATGGTAATAAAAAGAAAGAAAGAACCCTTTAAAACAAACAATTTGCTTCGTATTTTAACGCTAGTTACACCATATTGTTATATATATATTATTTATATGATTCTAATGTATATAATCGACCGATTTTTTTTTTTTGGTCATCATATAAACAACTATGCATCGATTAGAAGGTAGGGATGTTGAAGAAATATGATATAGTTTTTATATAAAATGTGAATTAAGGAGGCTATATAAAAAGACCAACCAAACATCCAATGTATGAAATTATTGTGAACCTGTCTGGATCCATGTCACACTTCCCTTTGTAACCTTCTTTGGGCATCACTCTCATTCATCGAAACCCTAAACTCCTTTTTATTAATTTTCACCTAATCCCCCAATTTAATTGAGCGTCTGCGTTCATATCATTATGTTTGTGTGTGTGTATATACACAAACCAGAATCAGGTAAGAGTAGAGTATAATGGAATGTAACATTTTAGATTTTAAATTTTAAAAACAAGAAAAAGCAAATATGTTTCATAATAAAGGGTCCTCCAAATTATTATAATTTATGAAAAATATTGGACCCTCAAAAAAAGCTTTCATGGCTAAGGTTGACGCTTCCACTCAATACATCGGTGTAATCATTAACGTAATTAGTTGGGACCCAATAATTAATTATGGCCAACCAAAATAAACAAACAAATAAATATTAATACGATATCAGTGGACTTAATGACGATTATTATTTATGGATCATTCGAATGTTTTTTAAAACCTTTTATTTTGTAATTATAGACTTGACGAGGAAAAAAAACCCAAGTAGTTGCATTACCAAACACTAAGCTGAAATTGCAATAACAACCAACCAACCAACCAAACCGGTTTATCTAATCTCCAGTCGTTTTAGCAGAACCCGGTTTACCATACAACAGATCTGGCAACATCGGGGCGAATGATAGCCGCAACAAAGCCATCAACTGATCCACTAAACGGGTCATCAATAGCTCAAAATGATTTCAACTTGGGTTTATTTTCCCGTATTTTTGATTTGGAAAGATGGGGTATGAACAAAATGGTACGGCTATAGTTGGTATTTCGGTCGAAAAGTTAAATTAGTAGAATGTAAAAGTATCATGATTTAAAGGGATTATGATTCCGAGCATGTTCAATTCCACCAAGTTTTTTGAAAAAAAAAATCTTATTTAATTCATTTTTTGATTATCAAATACAAAACAACCAGGATGAGTTCATTTTGTAAGCGAAAAAAAGTTGATATATTCTTTTTCCAATAAAGGGGCTTTTATCAAAGGAAAGCCCAAATATAATGGGCTGAGATTTGTCTTGTCCTATTTTTGGGCCTTCAGGTTTTGTTCATTCATCGTGTGATTAAAAAAGAATTAATGCGGTGAGCGTGGATCGAACACGCGACCTTCAGATCTTCAGTCTGACGCTCTCCCAACTGAGCTATCCCCGCACGTGAAAACTGTTTAATATTAAAGTACATGATTTTACAGGGAATTGTCCAATCAAAAAGCGTTAAAAGACCATTTGGGAGAACCATCGGCGGCAGACGAAGTTTCAACTCTCTCGAGCGCTCTGGTTTTTCTCTGGTGAGTCTCTCTTCTTCCAAGCTCTCTCTTTACTGCTCCTCTGTTCATTTCTCCGGTTCCGCGCTCTACGTGTTGATTGCCGTTTGTGTCTCACAATTTTCAGATCTGCGTGTTTTCTTCCAATTTTCTTGCCAAGACGCTGTTTGTCCCGTGATGTTTCCTTGTAAATAATGGATCTATATATGCATGGTTGAAATATCCAGTGATCTGTCTTAGTTTTTTTTAGACCAGACCGTTCTGCTAGAAATCGGGTTTCAGATTTGAACACCATCTGGTTGGTTCCTCGGAATTAGATCTCGTCTTAGGAATCATGGTGGATTTGTTCCGGACCTTCGAATACCGTTGAGATCGGGCAGAGTGTGTTGCATCTACAGTTGGGGGTTTGCTTTGTTGGTTGCTCAATTGATGAATGAAATTTTCATGGAAATGCAATATGTATGTGTTTTGAATTGCATTCTGAATTTGTTGCTCTGGACAGGATCGCAAAAATGGGGCTGTCTTTCGGGAAGCTGTTCAGCAAGCTCTTTGCCAAGAAAGAGATGCGTATTCTTATGGTGGGTCTTGATGCTGCTGGTAAGACAACGATTTTGTACAAGCTCAAACTTGGAGAGATCGTGACCACTATCCCAACCATTGGTGAGCAATCAACTTTTCTCCTCTCTTGCCTGTTCGGTTTGATAAATTGGTCGACAGCTGTTCATCAAGGCACAGATGTAATAAGTTAGGCTTTGGGATAAAATGAAAATGACACGGTAATCTTAGTGGAAAAATTTTGGTTTTCAGTTTGAAAATGTTTCCTGTTTGTTTGAATTGTTAGTATTTTTGCACCCTTTACATCTGCACGGAGAGTTTGCATCGGTGTTTTGGTTTATATATATACAACTAGCCGAGTGCTGAATGACAGTATCTGAAACCGACATCCATGGTTATCAGGGTTCAATGTGGAGACAGTGGAATACAAGAACATCAGCTTTACGGTCTGGGATGTCGGGGGTCAGGACAAGGTATTGTCAGATGCACTTCGCTTCTTGTTACTTTACAAACTTGTATACAAGGTTTATGTTTCCTTTTTAACTCAGATAGCAAAACGTTTGTGCTGTACGATTCAGTCTTACACGGTCAGGATCCAGCCAAGCCAATTATGGCTACCTGATTCTATTTATATTGTATAACTTTGAAAATGCTTATCTAGGTCCAGTGCTGGTATACATGCATATACAGGCACTCTACAGTTGATAAGCTAAATCAAATATCTGCCAGCATTTCTAGTGGCATCCTTTGATTGCCAAAGGAGTTGCATATTTCTGGCTGAACATTGCTTTATATCATTTTTTTTGTTGCACCTGCTCTTAGCGTGAAATAAGTGCTGTTAATGGATGTAATAGTTGAATTTATGGCTAACTTTACTTGCCCATATAGATCCGTCCTTTGTGGAGACACTACTTCCAGAACACCCAGGGGCTTATCTTTGTTGTCGACAGTAATGACCGAGACCGTGTTGTTGAAGCCAGAGATGAGCTTCACAGAATGCTGAACGAGGTGAAACTCGAAATCACGATTACCACTCACTGGTTGTATAGACGGATATTTTTGTTTGTTCAACTATGTGATGCATTGCCATTGGCATATATGCAGGATGAGCTGAGGGATGCTGTCCTGCTCGTATTTGCCAATAAGCAGGACCTGCCCAATGCGATGAATGCCGCTGAGATCACTGACAAGCTCGGTCTTCACTCTCTCCGACAACGACACTGGTGAGGGCAAAATCCGAAAGCTGGATAATCCGTTTCAGAAACCCTAAAAAACAAATCCTGAACCCTAACCCTAACACTGGAACAGGTACATTCAGAGCACATGTGCCACCTCAGGTGAAGGGCTGTACGAGGGTCTTGACTGGCTCTCCAACAACATTGCCAACAAGGTAATAGACTTTCCTTCCTCCTCCACATTCATTCTTAAGCTTAATAAATAAGTCATATGGTTAATGGAGTGCGACTTTGCAATATATCACAGGCATAAACGGCAATATGTATGGAACCTCAACAAGATATAAGTCAGATGCCTCTGTTTCTTGGGGGTTTTAATGGCCTGTTGTCACATTCTTCATTTGTTCTTTAATATCTTTGTGATTTTCCCTCTCTACTTCCTCTAGTCCTCCGTGATGATAATAACCCATTCAAGAGTAAAATCGAAATTTAAGATTATAGAGTTCGATTTGCAGATTATTGTATATGATTAATAAATCGATTGGACTCGGGAGATGCAGTCAGATCATAAACCTTCAACAGGTCACACCATACAGACAAGAAGAAGACAAATCATCCCTAAACCAGACAGCAGGTCTGGTCCCAGTAACAACAAAACCCGTCTGTCACACGAGACGCAATCAAGAAATCCCGAATTCAGTCGCCGCCCGGATGGATAGTCGGGGAAAAATCATGCTTCCTCACCCTTCTACCCCCTATCTTTACAAATTACAATTACTCCTTTTTTTTTATGTATTTTTAATTTATTCTTTGTATTCCGATGAATTTAACATCCATAGCCATAGGGACCCAACCAAGGGAGAGAATCAGGCAGCGGAAGGTGCGGTGACGTACTTGACACGTCCTGCTTCCGACAGAGCAGCGAATAACGGCTGAAGTTTCACCGGCTCTGTCTCTCCGTTGCCGGCTACAGCTGATGATTTCTTGTAATCCAGGGACTCGTCGTTGTAAATGTCCCACCACTTCTTCACCAGCATCTTTATGTCTTCTCTGTCCATGTTTTCCTCCTCCCCCGTATACCTCCATGGCTTCGATCCCTGTTCCCACACCCACAAAAGCTCGCCATAAATCAAGAATCCCGGCACTAAAAAAGGGGAAAAGATTGAGAATTTGCTGGAATTAGTCACCCACCGCTGCACAGTAGTGGACCACCTTCACTTTGTCGAGTTCAACGTTTTCCGGGTGACGCCACAACATGGCCATGACCAGATTGTATATCAGAGGAATCGGCTTGTATTTCTTCCTGAAGTACATGTTCAGAAAGTCCTGCACCCATCACCACCATCCATGGTGATTCATAACTTTCAATATATAATCAACAACAAATTATGTCATTTTCTTGATTAATCTGACACACTAAACTTCTATGGTTACCAAAGAAAAAACACAAACAGGGTTTCATATATTTCTTACAGATTGTGAAAGAAAAAAAGTATAAATTTACCTGTTCGGCGAAGGGAGTGGGAGGAGTGATCTCGAGGGTTCGGAGGAGATCATGGTAGGAGACGAGGTCAGGCTCGAAGACGAACATTCCGGCGTTGAAGTAGAGAGCCGGTGGCTCGCCAAGCTCGGCTGGCCACTTGACCTTGTCGGGACATTGTTGGCAGTATCCGATCTTGTACTGAGGAGTGTGGCTCCATGTCTTCTCGCAGAAACAGTCCATCACCGCGTAGAAGCTTCCGTCAGGCAGATCGAACAAGTGGTCTATGTTGCCGTACACTTGAATGTCTCCGTCCAGGTATACCATCTTGTCGTACTCCACGAACTGCATATTTCGATTCAAACCCATAAATCCACATATCGATCTCATATTTCTAAGAACAAAGTCAAAATTATTGCACATACAGTAAGATCATACCGTACTTTTTATCACAAAAAAAAAAGATCATACCGTACAGAACATATATACCCACGGAGGTACAGGTTCTAAAATAGAAAATGACATGTCGGAGACTGTAATGACGTCATTACACGAAAAAAAAAGCAACAAAGCGTGACGGAAGTTTGGAGAGTATCTATACCTTCCAGATACGGAGCTTGGAATAGTTGATGACGTAATAAGCCATGGCGAACTGGGTCTGGTTATCGGGCGGGTAAACGGGTTCGATCTCTCGAACAATGCAGCCTTGCTCCGTCAGTAACCTCCGGTGCTCTTCCGGCACGTCCGGTAACACCGCAACTACCAGCGGATACGCCGACTTCACCATCCTCAACCCTTTCGCCAACCCCACCACTCCCTTCACGTAGTCTCCGTCTCCGGCGAGGAACGTCACGTACGCTCGACCCGGCACGGCGGCGGCCATCTTCATCACGGCGGAGGCAGTTTTTATAAGCTCCGGTGCCATTTTCAGAAGTTGATCGCAGAGAGAGCTTTCGCTTCTTTGTGTGTGTGTTTCCTCGTGAGGATTCAGTGACTGAGGGGGGGTGCAGTGCTTAATATAGGCGTGTGCGCGGAAAATCGCAGTTTTTGAATTGGTTGTGATCATGTGATCTGGTACGTACACGTGTACATAAGATGATCGGACGGTGAGAATCTGTTTGAAGGTTCTGGAAATGGGGCCCTCGAATAACTTTGGGAGACACCAGAAGTAGGGATGTCAATTAAGCCCGGAGTCCGAAATCCGGTCCGAGTCCACCCGAAAATTATAAGGACATGGGCCTAAAAAATGTAGGCTCATTAAACTTCGGGCTTTCGGGCCTCGGGCCAAATGGGCTACGGGTCGGTCGGGCCGGGCCAGTCGGGTCTCGGGCCGGGCTTGAGGCCCGTTAATTTTTTTTTTTGTTTTTTCTAACCTTCTTTTCTAAACCAAAGTTTTACCTCTCTATACTTATAAATATGTGTGCCTAAATATATATATATATATATATATATATATATATATATATATTTGAACCAAATGATGAACTTTTATATCTTGGTTCCAATTAAACTTTTTAAAGTGACGGGAATTTTGAATTTCTTAACCATATTATATCATATATAATATATATAAGTTTATATTTTAGAAAGGGTAGAAGTTTTCAAATATATATATTTTTAAACCTTTGTTTGTATATGAACATATTGATTTTTTTCTATAGGTTTTAAATTAATTACATCATAGAATTTTTTTTTATATTATGTTTGTTATTTTTTATCACGTTTAAAAGTTTTTAATCGCATATTGTGGTGTTGGAGAATTGAACAATTGGATAATTTTTTTAATTTTATTTTTATTTGTGAACTAAATAACTTTGTTGTTATCGGTTTTAAAAATATTTTTGTTAAATGTTTCATATTATTATTATTATTATTATTATTATTATCGCAAAAAAAAAATTTATTTAATAAAAAGTCCGAAGCCCGGCCCGAACCCGCCCGAAACCTTGTAGGGCCGGGCTCCGGGCCATCGATCCTAGACCCGAAAAATAAATGGGCGGACCGGCCCGACCCGAAAAATTCTAGGCCCGAATTGAACCCAGTCCGAACCCGGCCCGACCCGCCCATTTTACACCCCTAACCAGAAGCAGCAGCTGCATTGCCTATTCGTGAGAAGTGGGGTTGCGATGCCCTGTGATCAGGTGCACGTATGAGTTCGGTACTCTTTTATTTTAATTTTCATGTCTATTATAAGTTTAGTTATAATAAAGTTTTGAAAATGTGTACTGATTTCCACACAGATTTTAAAAAATAAAATAAAATAGAAGAATCACCAACTTGAATTATATACTTTTATCTCAATGCAGTTGGCAAAATAATTTACAAAAATAAAAAATATAAAAAAAAAGTACCAAGCAGCGAAACAAACAAAACAAATGTGAAACGGGGTTTTATCAAATGTGAAACAGATGGGAGGCGTGAGATACACGCGCCACCTGGTTTGGGCCCAATATGGGCCCATTGAAAATAGATATTGTGGCTGGTGATGAAAGAATCATGGGCTCCACTTGGCTTTTTTCCAGAATTACTGAAATACCCCCAACCGGCCCACGAAAGAAGAGTCCCGGTCCCGTAGTGACCAACTGAAGTTACGACAGTCTTGGAAAGCAGATGATCCAAGTGGCGAATGATATTTGTCTAAGCAAGGATTAACCACTTATTCTCCTTCTCGAACTCTCTACCACCACACTTGTTGAATATTCAAAAGTATACGGCCTACTTTTTTCTCGAACAATCCTATAACAACTATGAATTAACATGTAATTATATTGCATATTACCCTTTCATATATATATATATATATATATATATATATAAAATACCCTTTTTCTCGAGAAAAGTTCCGAGCAGGGACATCATGGATCGATGAGTCTTCCCAGAAAGTCCAATAACAAAAATGGGCAACTTGGACATTATTGGGCCTGATTGGGCTTATAAGACCTCATGGGCCCAATTAACCCATTTCAGTATACATACAGAATTATTCATTATATTATATTTTTTTTCCAAGTCCGCCTCTTATTCATTATATTACATTCTTCTCCGAACGTGTATTTTGACATTTGCCGGAGAATATATATATATATATATGTGCACATTAAAGTTTTATTTTTTTTAAAAAAAAATATGCATTTTGTCTTCCTATCCCTCTAGTGCGCGCATATTTTATTTGAAATTGTTATTGTCTTATTTTATTTTTATTCACAGAGCTTTGAACTTGAAGTCTGTTGCCTTGGTGGGATGCTTCTATTCCAAATTCCAAACCGGAGACTTTGGTCAAAGTCAACTCCCTAAGTGTCCGACTTCAGGTGACATGCAATGCATTGCAGACACTTTCTTCTTTCCATTTCCCAAACAAAACTTGTGAATTCCCCCCCTTATATATATATATATATACATATATTGATGATTATTCTTTTTACATTGGTAGTGGTGGACCCCCTCCCTTTATTCTCTCGTTTACCTTGGTTAATATATGTTCTTGTTATTTACTGTCACCTCACATCATTCTCGATTTCTAATCCTGATTTCTCTGTTCCATTACGTGCTACACACACATATATACATATATATATATATATATATAAGTTTAATTTCATGAAAACAGAATATGCGAACGAACGTTAATCGTCTCTAGTCTTTATTAGCACCTAAATATGATTTTATTCTCTGTGGTAATCTGCAACAAACAAACGCAGATCTCCACTCCTTTTTTGAGGTTTCTGCATCTCTTTTTTCCAAACATCGTGCAAAAAGGGCCCGTCTTTGTTATTCGACTATCCATTAGGAATGCCTTTGGAATATTTCCCATAAAATTGTTTCGAATATTATAACTCACTCCTCTCAAATAATATTTTTAGAATCTTTTGCAATCTTATTCAGGAATTGTTGGTGGGATCGAGGACGATCGACAATATACCGAGACAAATTGCTAAACGGGGGAGATGAATGATATCGTATAACGATTGAAATTTATATCTTATTTATATCTCCCAGACATTTTATTAAATATTACATAATATTTAGATTTGATCTTATTTTAGTTGTTTAATATAAATATTTAAAGGAAAGATCAAATCTAAATATTATGTAATATTCTTGATATCTTATGTGTTTTCTTGATATGCAACTTTGCTATTAAACAAGCTTACTTATATGCTAAAAGTCAGTATATCAACGATCGATAAAGCGAATGTAAAAATAAAAAAAGGATAGAATTTGTAACGCGTTCAAAATGGAATAGACGGTAAGATTTGTGAGATATGTCTAGAACCCATTTAAGATATAATATCAAAATAAAAACCACTTTATTCTAAAGAGTTAGGAGGACAAATTTTTGTGAGGACCACTTGGGAGAGATGCCGATCTCAATTATGCAACGTTTTCATTCAAACGGAATATTGAGAGTATGTTGGAAACAACCATTGAATCCAGCCATGGTTTTTTTTCCTCTTGTCAAAATAGATCATCATCAGTTCAAAGTGTATACATACAAATATATATACACTCTGAACTGATGATGATATATACACAAATATATATATATACACATTGATCACCTATAGTATGATATTTTTTTTTTCTTTCTAAATCGTAAACCCTCGTGGTTTGATATTCCTTTGTTAAATAATCTAAGTAAGAGATGGCAATCAATACCTTTTAAATGGACCCATTGGACCATATATATATATATATGGTGCTACGGACTTTCAACTTATACAACAATTTAGTAGACAGTATCTCTCAAAGGAAACTAGTTAAAGGGAAAAAAAAGTTATATAAAGGGATAATCGCATAAAAATACCCGAACTTTTACAAAAATTTGAAATAAATACCCGAACTATAAAATTGTCATATAAATACCCGAACTTTTCACAACTTCCACATAAATACCCAAACTTTTAAATTTTTTGTAAATCAAACACGTATCCGTTAACGTCGTTAAACGCAACTGCTGACTCAGCAAAAAAAACTGCTGACTCAGCAAAAAATTGGTGACTCAGCAAAAAAAATATTATTAAATATCCAAATATTCATCTACATATATTTATACTAATATATGCATATAAATTCACACATATATATATATAAATATATATATTAAAAATAAAATTATTTATAATTAATAAAACACATATACATATAACTACAATATATATATATATATATCATTACTAATGCATGTATATTAAAATAAAAATAATTAAAATTAAATTTATATACATACGTAATATACATATTAAAATAAAAATAATTATAACTAATATATAAATTTAATTATAATTATTTTTATTTTAATATATATGCATTAGCAATGATATATATATTGTAGTTATGTGTATATATATTTTATTAATTATAAATAATTTTATTTTTAATATATATATATATATATATATATGCATATATTAATTTAAATACATGTAGATGAATATTTGGATATTTAATAATATTTTTTTTTGCTGAGTCACCACTTTTTTTTTTTCTGAGTCAGCAGTTTTTTTTGCTGAGTGAGCAGTTTTTTGTTGAGTCAGCAATTGCGTTTAACGACGTTAACGGATACGTATTTGATTTTAAAAAAATTAAAAGTTTTGGTATTTATGTAGGAGTTGTGAAAAGTTCAGATATTTATATGATAATTTTATAGTTCGGGTATTTATTTGGGATTTTTGTAAAAGCTCGATTATTTTTATGCGATTACCCCTTATATAAATGGTATTTTGTTGTATTTCCCGTCACTATTTCAACCATAACATCAAACAAAAAAGATCATATGATGATCGTAAACTACCATATAACCTTTCTTCCACTTAAATTTGTATACTAATTACTTGCTTTTTTCGACACGTCGTTGATTGTTTCCTTTGCCAAAGTTGGACCGACAGACATCAAACCTTCATGTACGACGATTGGTCATTGATAAGGAGAGTTAATTTTAAGATTACTATGCAATGGAGGGTACGTACTGTGGCGAGCAAATGGAATGTTTAAGGATTCAATGGTTCATAGAGTTCCACGCTTTACCCAAAAAAAAAAAACGGTTCATGGAGTTTTAATTATTTGCATGAAAGGATCTTCTTTTATATGTATTATGTTTAAGGATACATATATATATATATATATATATATATATATGTGTGTATATACCATATAGAGCGTGTGTGTATATATATATATATATAAGATCCAATCAAAACTGATCATAGCATGTTAATGTATTTATTAACAAGTTTCTTTCGCTACACATCAAATGTTAACTTTTGGAATAAATAAATATTGAATGCAGCTAAAAAAAATATTTTAAAAAAACGACTGAAAATTCGGTCTCTCTCCTTCAATTAATTATTTATTTATTTATTAGGATATCAAGGATGCAAATTTAATGAAAAAGTAGTCATCTTAGTCTGACGATTCTTTGACTTTTCTCCCCGAAAATGTGTTTTAATTTCAAAAGCTAAGTAGTCCCCATTTCGCCTAACACCGTTTCTCATTTGACTTTGCCTCAATTGTCAACAGTTCTTTAATTTTAATCAGTTCCAATTCTTCCAAGTTCTAACTCAATAAGAGAAGAGAATCCGCCACATCACGTTCATTTTCTTTTGTAACTATTAAAAAATAAATTATTTGCCATTAAGAATATTATATTATCTTGCAAATCCTTTATTCCCCCCCGTTCTAGAAACAAAAAGACGTAGGGGAAAATAAGTATATTTTACTCAATAAGAGTGTTCATTTACTAATAAGACACGTGTAAAAAAGTGTTTTGAATCTATAAATTTTTAAAAAATTTCAAGAATATTTTTTGAATTTATAATATTTGTGAAGTGAAAATAAACTCGAATGATTACATATTATTCAAATGCAATCAATGTTAGATGCATTTTTTTTATTTCTTTTTTCGTATAATCTAAAATTTTACAGTAATTTTGGTCCAACTACGTTTCCAACAAAAATAGAAAAGTCCGATTTTTTTTACTATTATAAAAAACTATATCCTCCATCCCTGTATTTTATAACAAATATGTATGCGAGTGTTTTCAAAGGATTTTAATACGAACTTATCTATATTTTTGTCAAAAAATGGGCTTAATTATTTTCTAAAAAAATAAATATATTTAGAGCAGTTGGAGACTATGGTACGCCGGCTATGTCCGCTCCTATCGTGGGCCAAATTCAATGAAAAAATTAAAAAAAAAATACCCCTACAGAGAGAGAAAAAAAAAAACAAAAATCATTGAAAAAAGGCGAAAATAAAGAGAGTGAGGGGAGGAGTGCGTGTTACTATAGTTAAGGAGAAGTCAAAGGGTCAAACTTATCATTTAAAATCAAAGAAGGAAAAAAAAGAACAAAACACATAGTTTAGTAGCAAAGTTCCACTTTGGAAACACACTCATGCCGTGTTCTATGTTCTAATCACTCTTCAAAGTTCCTACTTATTAAAAAAAAAAAATCTAATATCCAATTTTTAAAATACTTTTTTCCCCCATGATTCCTTTTGTGGGTTATATAAATACTGCCACACAAGCTTAATCTCCAAACCTTCCTCTGCACCGTATCTTTCTATCTCTCTCTCAAACCAAATTCTTTGACATTCCAATGGATGAATACGAACAAAACTCAATGTTCCCCACTAACGATGAAGACTCCGATGTACGGAAAGGTCCTTGGACCGAGGAAGAAGATGCCATCCTCCTCAACCATGTATCCGTTCACGGCGAAGGTCGTTGGAACAACATCGCTCGCTCCTCCGGTACGAAATCATACATACACACGCATATCGTACGTGTGTGTGTGTGTATACGTATGCCCATGGCGGTATTATATATCTTGATATGTATGGATGTACGTGCATGCAGGGCTCAAGAGGACTGGAAAGAGTTGCAGGCTGAGATGGCTAAACTATTTACGTCCAGATGTCCGACGAGGAAACATAACTCTTGAAGAACAGTTTCTGATCCTCAAACTCCATTCTCTCTGGGGAAACAGGTACTGTCTTTGTACTTCCCCCGCGTATCGTTGATTATACGGTTTTTTTTTTTTTGTAAAGAACTTGATTTTTGTCATATGGGTCTTGGTAAATTAGGTGGTCGAAGATTGCCCAGTATTTGCCCGGAAGAACAGACAACGAAATCAAGAATTATTGGAGAACTCGAGTTCAGAAACAAGCCAAACACCTCAACTGCGAAGTTAACAGCAACCTCTTCAAGGAGACAATGAGAAATATCTGGATGCCCAGGTTACTCGAGCGAATCCACGCCCAGTCATCGGCTTCCACGTGCCAAACCGGAGAATCCGCACTCACCGAACCGGGTCAGCTCGATTTCGCCCCGACCGGGCCGGTTCTGGACCAATTCGTGGACCCAAACCAACAGTTCACGGCGTCGAACTCGCCGGAGACGCAGATCTCGACATTTTCCGACCAGGGTCAGGCGAACGGGTCGGGATATTGCCCGATTCAATCAGGTTTTGATGGATTCGATGATTGGAGCAGCGGTGGGGACGGAATGGAGACATTGTTGAACGACGTGGACAGTTATTGGAACATTCAGGACCAGTTCTGCAGCGAGACATCGTATTCATACAATTAAATCTAGTGTTGAAGAAAGAGCGTTTACGAAGAATTCAATTGCGTCACGTCTGGTGTAACCATTCGTGCGTATATCTTGCGTGATGCCATTTTAGATACGGCTTGGCATACGAAACTTGACTTCATGTCTCCTTCTTTTTCTTTTGTCTGATTATGGGCCGTTCATCACGCAGGGACATTTATATGTGAATTATCAAATTCAACGTACTTTTAATTAATTACCAGGAAAACATTCTCTCTTTGTTATAAATTTCGAGATGTTTATTCATGCTAACTAGAATCATGCATGGCGCGTTTACTATATTGTTAATTTTGATAGACATATCTCCACGTCAAGACGATGCGTTTCTCTCTCCCTCTCTCTCTCTCTATATATATATATATACATAAAGGTGATTAATGTGATAATTTATACTTATAACCCTAATCAAAACATTCATGTCGCTCAAGAACATGTTGAAAGCACTCATGGGTATACACACATAGATATGGGAGATATACGAAGTATCCTAGTCTTAATATTGTTCACCCTTAATTGCTTTTCTGATCTTTAATTAGCAAAACACGATGCCAATGATTTTCTTATGTTATTACACAAGTGATGAGATGTGTTAGAACTGAGTTTACGTAATGAATGTCTCCGGTCCCATGAAGGGCACAATTGGTCCACGGCCTCCTATAGCGAAGCACTTACGGCCGCAAACCTTGAAAACATATATTTTCTCTCCCCCCCTTTATCATATATTTTTTTTTTAAAATTGTAGTTTCTTATATTTAAACGTAATTAATCATATGATCTAATTTCAACCAAACTAGGGTACTGATTCTCACGATCGAACGTCGAATGTTCAGGAAAAATCATATATGAAGGCATACCACGATAAGATGGGGACTATCATGCACGCACGTGTTTTATATATTAGAAACCCTAGGTCTAGATTAATGTTTTAGGTGCCATGCGGTTCAGGGTTTAGTATTTATAAATAGAATGTTTATGTTTTGTTAAAAATTATTAATACGTGTTTTCTGGTTATTGTATCTTTAATTTATTTCACTCGAGAAACATTCAAAGACGGCACCACACTTGGTATTGAAATAATTATAAGGTTTTGAATTAAACACATAGGCTTGCTTTTCCCCGTCTTTAAATTTATCATATAGTTTTTTATTTGGTTGGTCAAAATATTGATGTTGCCAAATGCACAATTGATCGGCTACTATTTATCAATATCTACACGTGAACATAAAATATAGGTGTTGAAAATAGGAGGAGATTAGTGTTTGATTGTAATAATTAACGGTTAATTAACCAATTGTTTAGATCGGGAAAAGACGGCCAAATTCCGATTGGGTGGAAATGCTTTTGACGTTCTGATTTTGTTGTATTAATTAATTAATTAACCTTTGTCATTGCTTACGTCCGCCTTTGTATTTTTATTAATTTATCTGATTATTTATAGTTGATTTACAGTCAATTTCTATTGCTTCCATAGTTGATTCGGTTCGGTCCACGTATAGAAAAATCCTTTATTTAAAATATCATACCAAATTAAAATACACCAACATATAACACACATTTCATAAGAACGTGATTGTGAGTCGACTGTATATGTTTTTTCTGATCTTTTTCCACGGTTACAAGTTATACGAGTGATTTGAATGTTTATTAGAATTTAGAGATGATACATTATATCATAATAATCTAATCTAAGGGTACGTCATCATATTAATAAACTTTTTTTTTCTTTTGCAACAAACAAAAAGGAATGTTTACTTTGATATTTCATTACTAAATCCAATTTCAAAGCCCATGACTTCGTATGATCATATGGGCCTTCCAGTCCAGTTACTGTTATTATAAATGGGCTCCAAGTAGCCCAACTTAGTCCAATCTGTCCTTTTACCATATTTCATTTTATAAACATTACTTTATTGCGAGATTTTTTCAAGTCCTGAAAAAAAAACCCATCAATCATACAAAACGGTGCCGTTCTTTATCGTAAGAAAGGGGGAAAAATCATTTTATCATCGTTGTGTTCGATGATCATAAAAACCGCCAAACGAATCCGAGGGTTCAAGAATAGTTTCGCGGTCGATGAGAAAATCCCCAATCACTCGCAATTTCCTGGGTTTGGTTACTCTTTCAGTGAAATCTATCGGAGCCCTAATTTTGGAATCAAATCGGTCCGTGATCGGATCGAAGACCTTCTTGCTCCCGAACTGGATGATAGTTAGCTGATAAAGTTTCGATTTTTCAATGGGTGGTACGGACGCTAAGGACATTCTGGGATTGCCGAAGACTCCGTTGTCGATAACCCAGGAGAAGAAACCTCGACCCCAGAAGGAGTCCCATAGAAAGCCCGATGGCATTTCTCGCGAGGTGAGCTCGGAAAAATGTAAAAATGCTCATCTTCCGTTGATCTTTTTTGGTCTTTTTTCGTACCTTTGGTTCTTTTTTGCTGTTGAATTTCAGGTCTATGCGCTTACCGGCGGCATCCCGCCTCTTATGCCCTCAATTGATGTTTCTCAGTTAAAACGCCGACCACCTGCGGATGAGAAGGTTTGGTATTGCTTTTGGATAAATTTTACGTATCCTTACTGCTAATTGGAGCCGTAAACATCATCGTAGTCTTAGGGCTTGTCTTAGTTTCCTTACCGGTGGCTTGAGGATGATAAGGGTGCTCAATTCCGTGATATAGGAGGAGAATTTGCCAAAATTGGATGAGATTGCATGTTTTTTATTAGTGGGGTGTAGGTTTTTTCAGTTACTCTTCTGTCAACTAAGCCTAAGAATGATTGTTCTTCTGAGTTGAGTTTTGGGGCTCAACATGTTTGGATTGGTTTTCATGGATTGTAATGTGTATGCTGAAATGGATGGAGCTTTCTTTCAGGTGGTTTGGCGATGGCTTCCCTTCACAAATTCTGCTAGGAAAGATAATTTGCAGCTTTATCACTGGGTAGGGTCCTTTTATGCAGAATGTCCTTTTCGAAAACAAACTTAACCATTCCATTCTTTGTAATCCGCCGTCTTTATTCTCATGCACCCGAGATTTTTATGGGATCCATGCTCTTGCAGGTGAGAGTTGTGAATGATGTTCCGCCGACAGGTGATTATTCCTTCGCTAAATATAACAAGGTATTCCCTCTTGTTCATGTGTGCTACGCTCGACTTCTTCTCCCCTTCTTTTTGGGCCTTTGTCGTCATTCTTACCCTTACCTTATGGCATAGTCAGTTGATATCATGAAGTACACAGACGAGGAATACGAGAAGTATTTAACAGATCCTGTAAGTATCTAATGAAGCAACACCTTTATCCACTTCCACTTGTCGTCACTAATGTCCTATAGAGACTGCGCATGCATGGCCTTGATTTATTGTGCCTTTTAACAGGTATGGACTAAGGAAGAGACAGATCAGTTGTTTGACTTGTGTGAAAGGTTTGATCTTCGCTTCATTGTGATAGCTGATAGGTTTCCATTATCTCGGACTGTGGAAGAATTGAAGGACCGTTACTATAGCGGTACGTTTAGTCCTTCCTTCTTTGAGAAGCATTAATTGTTCATTACTTATATCACCTTGACTTTTGTTCTTTCTCGGTTTCATTTGTGTCTTGTTTTCTCTGTTTCTCTGTTGTTTTGTACGAGATCTCCAAAGGCAGTGGTATACGCTTGATTATGGCTGTGCTTTCTTTTGTAGTTACCCGGGCTCTGCTGCGTGTTAGAGCTCAGTCTCCAGCAGATGTTGCAAACCATCCTCTAATTAAGGTCAGTGTTGTTCTGTTATCTAAACTAACTCTTATTATCATATATATTATCTCTGTAGTTTATTTTTTAGAAATCTGTTATGTAAATGGTGTATTTATCCAGGGTGTGGCTTTTATTTATGCATAAACAGGAGCAGTATGATATTACTCGTGATAGAGATCGAAAACGTGCATTGTCCGTGGTACTATCACAGACCAGACAGCAGGAGAAGAAAGACACTGAGGTTTTTCCTTTTCTGTTTCACTGATGTGATGGAAAAAATGTAAGATAATTCTTTGCTTTATCTTACCTGCTGTTCATAAACCTCAGATTCTTGCTGAAGCTAAAAGAATAACGGAGGCACGCTTGGCTGCATGGGTATGTGTTGTGTTAAAATATTACGATTCTCTTTAATTTCTTCATTTACCGTGTGTGCAGGAATCTTTTTAAGATTCTGTTTTTACCTTAGATTGTTATCGAGATTTTGATTCCCATCAATCTTGTTGCTGATATTATTCTTCTTTCTGGTTGTCCAGAGTACGGAAGAGCCTGATGTCCCTGTGAATGCGACTGCTGGTCCTGAAAAAGCTGATGGGGTTGTAGTTCCGGGGGATAGTGTATCGCCGTCAGCCAATGTTCCTCCTCCTACTTCAGGAGCGGCTCCTTCAACATTGGTGATGCCAGATAATGCTTCTACCATTGCTTCTCTGCGCATGGTTAACATCTCTCGCCCTCTCTCTTTCTCTCTATACCCTAGACTGAAACTTCTCTGGCTTATTTTCTGTGGATTTTGAAAAAAATTTCAGCTTCGTGTATATTTGAGAACTTATGCCCTTGAACAAATGGTCCAAGCTGCAAGCTCGTCTGTTGGTCTTCGGACAATCAAGCGGGTTGAGCAGACATTGCAAGATCTTGGGGTTTGTCTCTGCTTCTTGTTCTGTCAACCTTTCTATCTTACCCTTATATTAGCCATCTGATCTCGAGCTTCTTCTCATTGCGATTGAACTGCTGTAGGGTGTCATAATTCACAAATTTTGTTGTGTGCAGGTTAATTTGAAACCAAAAGTTCCTACGAAAACTGTGTGTGACGAGCATCTTGAATTGCGAAAAGAGATTTTAACGCTGTTGAATCTTCAGAAGCAGGTAACAACAAGTTGCATATTCTCTTACATGGGATGGGACTATATTCTATTCCATGGTGTACACTGTTGTTGTTGTTTTCACTCCACGTTTCAGCTACAATATAAGGAAGCAGAAGGTTCATCGTATAGGGAGGGTTCATATGCCGAAATGCCAGAACCCCCTCAGGTCAGCATATAATTGACAAGAAGGGTCTCTCATTCTGATTCTGTTTTTCATGTTCCCATGTATTAGTAGGAGCTGTTATCATCATAATGATGTGTTTCTTGATGATCAGGATCGTGTTTTTGCTCAAGAACCCTTTAGTTTTGGAGGTACTGGCTCTCTACATAATCTTATCTCCTTCTTCTATCTGCCATTACCAGTCATCTCTGAGATCATTTGTCTCTTGGTGTGTGTGTGCGCATGTATTTCAGCTGAAAGACCCACCAAAAAGGACCAGAAGAGAAAGGTGCAGATCCTCTGTTTTTACTAATGTATGTATAAAACTTTCCTGTGGAGGAGGTGTTTTAAAGTTGGTGGGTGAGCAAATGGCAGGGACCGGGAAGACAAGCAAACACTCCATCACCCGCTCATAAGCGGCCGAGGAAGATGAAAGCCTCTGATCTCTGATTCCCCTGACCTTCATTCCAAAGTAATTCCATTCCCCCGACAGTATTCCTTTTTATTAATATATATACACACACACACACACTTGCGCATGATCTGATGCATGAAGATTTTGCTTAAAAGAAAAAAATGGTCCATGTGTATTAGGATTTGCAGCCAGTGAGGATCCCCCAGTGGACTTTGACCTCTCTCTCGAGTATTTTGTCGGAGGATCTCAATATGTCAACACCGTGTGTGTTGTAATGAATCGTCGCCCTTTTACTGACGGTAAAAATTCGTGTTAGATAAATCATCGCCCTTTTGAGTTTACTTTTTTTTTTTTTTTTCTAATCTCGGTTGTCCGATTCAGATTGTAACGGATTCACAGATTTGTGTCGTTTTCACACGAGTCTGGAAAAAATGTTCAGTTCTAACTCGGTTTGGCTCGCGAGTCGCGACTCGAATGAATCGTCTTATGAACTCGATGCAAATAAAGTAGTAGCAGCAAATTGTTCGCTTCGGTTTTTGAACAACAAAGGTTTTGAAGGAAATCTGGATCTGAACATAGAAATCGACGTTTTCCGGGGAGAAGAAAATCGATGGTCGTAGAGGGTGTAATTACATGATTTCTAATTTTCTTATCAGCATTTTAATGGTTTCCTAAACTAATTATCTGATCTTAATCTTTTCACTTCACAATATTAAATCCGCGGAAGCAAAGAAGGCGTCTTTTTCCTCTTCGGGTGCGTTTTCCTTCTACAGTACAGTATGTACATATATATATATATATATATATATATATGCCTCTTCGACTTCGTCTTTGCGGGCTCGGAGATTTAAAGCTGAAAAGAAAACATTTTTATCAAATTGCTACTAGGGTTTTGATTCTTGTAAACTTCTGGGTAAGGGAAAGAACTGCCGGAGAAATGCTGAGTGAGACAGAGCTTGCAAAGTGTGGCATCACCAAGGGCTCAGTGGTGGAAGTGAGTTCCGACGAGGAAGGCTTCAAAGGCGCATGGTACAGAGCCCTTCTCGAAGAAACCCCTTTGAAATCTAGGCGCAAAAAGCTTCTAGTCCGCTACTTGACGCTGCTCAAGGACGATGGTCTCACTCCCCTCCACGAAGCCGTCGACTTGGGCTTCATCCGGCCGTTGCCTCCGGAGGATGTGGTCGTCTCCGGAGAGAGTTTCGACGAAGGAGACGTTGTTGATGCCAGTTACAGAGATGGATGGTGGACTGGGGTCGTCAGGAAGGTTCTGGAGGACGGGAGGTACATCGTCTACTTCGATAACCCGCCTGATGTTATCGAATTCGATGGCACGCATTTGCGGGCACATTTTGATTGGATCAACGGGAAATGGGCCCGAGCCGCTAAGCAGGTGGTACTCTCTGGTTTCTCGTTGATCGGTTTTGTATGAGCGGGTTTCCAGTTTGGTTCTGTTCCTTTGCCTTTTCTGCACAGTATTTGGAACTCGTTCCTCGTTTGCATGTTGCGTCTTTAGGTTAATATCTGAACTTTGTTCTTGGAGTTTATAGTTATGCGGTTACCATTACATCGATTTCCTCTCCATCTCTGCATTCCGACCATGCTTTTACGTTCTTCTCAATAGCTCATTTTAATATTTTTCCAGCAATTGGAAAAATCGGCATTTTGCTCCGGGACAGCAGTTGAGTTGAGGACTGAGACAGAACATCTGCGTGATGTCTGGGTTGGGGCAGTTGTTATCAAGGAGAATGAGGTTGGAACTGTCTATGTGAAGTACAGGACTTTGAGGAACGGTGATGATGCAGAATCGAGGAGAGCTGATGTTGAATCGAGCAAGATCCGACCTACACCATTGCCTTGTAAGGACAGAGAGTATATGATACTGGAAAAAGTTGACGTGCGTCATGAGTCGGGATGGCGTGAAGGTGTGATTACTAGAATTATGGCTGGAAATATATACAAAGTGTTTTTCCGGCGTACAAAAGAGAGTTTTGATTTCACTGAGTCGGATCTAAGACCTTCCATGAAATGGAATGGTGGGAAGTGGGAGATGGAACCAAAGGTATCTGCACTTCTTTCTTACCTTCTTTTTGCTTTTGCACAGAATTTCTGGGCATTGCAATTCGGGTTTTATATGTTTCCCCAATTGGAAGAATTTTCAAGTATCTTGTTTTCGTATGGAAGCAGTATCGTTATCTCAAGCTGCATAATTGTGAAATGATTTGGGAATTTCGTATTTTTGTTTTGTGTTTTAGCTCGATACCGCTATGTCAAATGATCTAACGCAATCGGGGCACATCAACGACAATGCAATCAACTTTGAGCAAGTTCCAGGTACCACCCATGACAAAACTGAAGAAAGGACTCCTTCCAAACACTCGAGGAATAAGTCAGGAGGCCGTTCAACTTTCACCAGTAAAGTCTATTCTGTGTCCTCAGCAAAGAAAACGAAGCTAACAAGCCCTTCTGCTGATGCTAAGCAATCGATTCCTGCTATATACACACACACACACACTTGCGCATGATCTGATGCATGAAGATTTTGCTTAAAAGAAAAAAATGGTCCATGTGTATTAGGATTTGCAGCCAGTGAGGATCCCCCAGTGGACTTTGACCTCTCTCTCGAGTATTTTGTCGGAGGATCTCAATATGTCAC